TATTGAAGACCTAAGATAGGGGAATTCCAAGTGAAGAACGCAGACACCCAGATGGACAGTGGTCTCTTTAATGGTCCGTGTTGTTGTCTGTGAATGTAGATTAGGCGTTATCGCTGCTTGCTGCACTTATGTATCTTCTCCCTCTAATTCTGCGGTTTCGACGCGTTCTCGAAGGTTAAGTGCATCACTAGAGGCGTGGGATTGAGATAGTATAGGCTTGGAGCCTTTTCTGTAATTTCTTAGAGTGGACGGCGTTCCACGATAACTGTTGTTGGAGTGGATTCTATTGGAGATACCATCATCCTCGGGGTCATTCTTTCTAGTTGGGCTGGGAGCGTATCGCTGGCTGGGTAAACTCGATGATTTCGGCGATCTCCCCCGGGCCTCTCTTTCTAGCTAGGATGGGAGTGTGCTGCTAGCTGGGTGTCCCTGGGTCGCTCTTTCTAGATGGGTTGGGAGATGACTGCATAGTAGTTAGACAGGCGATATCTACCTCATCCACGAGTCCTTCTTTCTAGCTGGCTTGGGAGTGGATCTTTCAAATCATTCCCACAGGAGATCATTTCCCATTTTTTCCCGATCCTTCGAGAAAAAGATTCATTCTCTTCATAAAAAATAGGAGGTAGAATTGATATGAAAGTGAAAGCCGGCCCAAGCAGGATCCAAAGACGTTTAAGTCCAGTTACCCAATTTTTGGGAGTTCTAAGGGAAGACCATGAAGGGCTTCACCTACCGTGAAGCCCTTGACGGGTCGTGGAGGCAGTCGTGAAGTGTCCGACAGTTCAGTCTTACTCTTTTTAAAATACTTTATTTGAATTAATTAGGTCATTTTTTAGTTTTTTTTATCTTGTCTCACCTTGAACAACGAACGAGTTTTTAGATATTCTTATTTTTGGTTTTCGATTTTAACATTGAATCAAAGTTTGAAGGTTGGATTTCTGTTTCTTGAATTATCAAAGTGGCTTGTTGATTTGCTTATTTTCGTAAGTACTTTCTCAAAATGCTTTCATATTATATTTCTAAATGTTTACATGAAATCATGAGTGGCTAAATACCACAACAGGTATTGTGGGATCTATGACGTAAATCGAAGTGTAATTCCGTAAAACGAGTGATAGGCGATTTATATGTGCAAATTATAATTTAGCTTTCGTTATTCATGTATTCTAATGAGTGCACACATTGGAGTGAGCCTGTATCTGCCATTTGTTTGAGAGAAAAATGATAGTTAGGAAAAAGCTAAATTAATCGGAAGAAATAGAGTCAAAGTTCGAGTTCGAGAGAAAAGAACTTTAACACTATTGTAAACGAGGGTAAACCTAATAACACTCTGGGACCGAGAGGACTTGAGTGAAAATTACTTGATTAGACTGAGAATTATCAAATATATTTAACTCGTATGTATTTTGTAGAGATAAACTGCATGAAACTCAATTACGGAAGAACATTAGATGCTATGGAGAACGCAATCCTAGTTTCATTTAATCATCGAAACAACTTTAGAACTTAAAACTCTGTTAATTATTGATCTGGATTTTGATTACCAATTTTAGATTCTAGAACATCACAACTACACCCATTTTACTTTCTGTAACTATTTCTTTAGGAAATAATAACGACATTTGAGTAAACGCGACAGTGAAATCATTTTTGTAAAGAAATTCTCTGTGGGATCGACCTCAACTCACGTTGAGTTCTATAAATTGACTTCAACCGTTTATATCTGTTAATTAAGGTGTAAGTTTGGACGTATCATATATCTTGCTTGCCTTTTTTTTCACAGTGCTAACTTTGATTATCCTCTTATAGTTGAAAGTTTATGTTTTGAACCATCCTTGTTCGACTATTTGGTGTGTTGTTTCTATCTAATTGTAGATGATATTTGCCTGCTGTGGTAACTCCTGATTAAAATTAAACTGCATTTGATCTATTCCTGCAAAGCTGAAAACATAGTTAGTTAAAAAATCAGCAAGTTTATTCCCTTCTCTGCAGGTGTGCTCAATCATCGTTGTACCATTCTCCATAGCTCTTTTTATAACTCTAATCTCTACTGCAATCGACCAAGGTATCTCCCAGATACCATCTAGCACCTTCTTAATAATCAGAGAATCTGTCTCCCTTACAAGAGGCATAAGATTATGCTCTAAACAGTATAAAATGCCGCTACTGAATGCTTTGGTTTCAGCTTCCAAGGTTGTACAAAAGGATATACTCTTAGCTTCAGCATACATCAAACACCCTAGGTGATTTCTCACACAAAGAGCCCTAGCACTATCCCCCAAAACAGGTCTACTTGAGCCGTCAGTGTTACATTTAAAAGTACCTTCTTCAGGACATCTCCACCTTATAACTCTGCTAGTCAAGATAGGACTGTAAGCCTCTAAAAAACGTACAATTAGGGGCCATGACTTTTGTACCTCCACCAACCATGAATATCGTACTTTGGTCAGCAAATATACGTTTTTATTAATCTCCATTTCCATTGAATGCCTTGACATTTTGCCTCCATGTTTGAGGACATTTCGTCTCTTCCATACTTTCCAAACTATGAATGCAGGGACTGCCTTGCATAAAGGTTTCAACTTTGTCACACCATCAAACTCCCACCATGTCTTAATAACTTATGTTAGTTGAACAAAAGGCCCTGGGATATCTGCAGCTCCTGCAAATACTCTTCATAGATAGTTTGCGTCACGACAACCTACAAATAGATGGTTAAAAGATTTGTGTGTCCCTGCATTACAACAACAACATACCATAGAGTCACAAATTTTATATCTAACCAAAACCTGACCAATGGGGATTCTTTGGAACTAGATTCTCCACAGAAGAAAGGGAATTTCACCTTCTATTGGATTACTTCTTTGTCTAATCAATTCCCGAGCACTTCTAACTCTGAATTTCCCTGAACTGTTAGGCATCCACCAAGCTATATCACTCTCTCCAGAATTATGATCTGCTAACACCTTGAAAACATGCTAACAAAACTCTTTTGTAAACACATTAGACATTAAAGGCTTGTTCCACTCTCCATTACTCCACATGTTGATTCACCTCCTACATGGAGCTTGAGAGATTCTGATTAGTCTGCTCTAAGTGATGAATAGAGCTAATTTGGGACCAATTATCATACCAAGTACTCCCTCCGTTTCAAAAAGAATGACCTCATTTCCTTTTTAGTTTGTTTCAAAAAGAATGACCTCTTTCCTTTTTTGGTAACATTTTAATTTCAGCTTTCCACGTGGCATGTTTAAAGCCACAAGATTGAAGGGCAATTTAGTACATTTGATATAACTTTTACTTAAGACCACAAGATTCAAAAGTCTTCTTTTTTTATAAAACTTCGTGCCAAGTCAAACCAGGTCATTCTTTGTCAAACGGGGGAAATACTAGCTTGTCCACACCTAGGTTCCCACCAAATCTCCTGATCTATATTATCTCTAGCCCAGAGCATCATCTTTAGGGGTGGAGCTATGACATGGCAAGGGTGGTCAAATGAACAACCTTTGTCGGAAAATTTTACGAGTATATATACTAAATATCGAGTTTTTTGGATATATACTAACTGTTGAACAACCTTGACACAATAAAGGTTGACAGCCCAGTGGTTAAGGCTGTGCAAAGATGCCTTAGCGTTCCGGGTTCGAGCCCAAGTGTTGGCGTTTTCTTTAATTTTTTTCATTATTCCATTTGTTCTCTTACAAAAGGCAAAACTCAGCCTGGGTTCGATCCCAGGCTTGAACATTTCAGTTATTTAATATTTGTTCCATTTTTCTCTTAAGAAAAAATACAAAAGTTACCTTTTTTAAGTTAAGAAAAACAAAAGATCTACTCTTGACTTTTCTTAATTTAAAAAAAAATAGATTCTCTTTTCCCTTTAGTTTTTTGTCTTCTTCTTCTCCCAAAAACCCTTTACAACTTTATTTTTTACCTTTTTCTCTTCTCAACTTTCATACATATTTGCAAGTTTTAAGAAATTGGAAGCTTTAATCATTGTATATTTCTTCCTCAACAGCCATTGAAGTGTGAAAAGGTATTTCTTAATTCTTTTTTTCCTTTAGTTTAGTTTTTTTCTAATCATGTGTTGAAAGACTTGTATATCTTCATTTTTATGTTAAAAGCTACTTTATTTATTTGAGTATCGATCAACTATTTGGTGTATTGTGGATGATTTTAATAAGTTTGGTATACTTGACTACTATTTTAGTTTGGAGTTCAATGAGTTTGGAGAAATATTTTTTTAGAGTACCCAAAACAAGTTTGGCGCCTCAAAATCAAAATCAACTACGCCGAGATGAAAATGTCAACCAAATAGAAATATCATCTCACTCTTCCCAAAAATAAGAATTTGATGTAAATGATTTAAAGGTTGATCCGGCTGAAAGAACTCCAATTTTGAATTACCATCCAAACCTTTGTGATGAGATAAGGAGGGGATACATCATTAAAGGACATTGTCAACCTCAAACTCATCAGTTTCCTCAAACTGACATTTTTGGAACACCACATCATTTTGTTAATACGTGGTGTGATGAATATCGTGATTTGTTGGAATACAGTATTAGTGTGGATGCTGCTTATTGTTTACCTTGTTATTTGTTTCAAGGAGAAAACATTAATCAAGGTGGTGGTAATGTATTTTCAACTAAGGGATTTACAAATTAGCATAGAAAGGATAGCTTTGCACACATATTGATCCACCGAATAGCGTTCATAATCAATCCAAAAGAAAGTGTGAAGAGCTCATGTGAGAACAACAATCCATTCAAGCCGCATTTTACAAGTTGGATGATAAAAGTAAGCATGAATACCAGGTTTGGTTTAACGCTTCAATCAATGTGGTAAGCCTTCTCTTGAATCAAGGTTTTGCATTTCGTGGTCTTGACGAGAGTGAATCGTCATTGAACAAGGGTAATTTTCTTGAAGTTCTTTCTAGGTTAGTTGCTAGATATGATGCAGTTAAACCTTTTATGTTAGAAAAAGCTCCAAAAAATAATAAAATGACTTCTCATGACATCCAAAAAGATATTGTGACTGCGTGTAAGATTGAAACAGTTAAGGCTATAATAGAGGATATAAATAGTGACTACTTTGCTTTATTGGTTGACGAATCTAGAGACGTGTCACGCAAAGAGAAAATGGCTATTTTTCTAAGATATATTGACAAAATGAGGTTTGTGATGGAGGCATTTATTGGACTTGTTCATATTAAAGATACTAGTGCTTTATCTCTAAAGAAAGCAATTGTAGATTTACTTGCTCACCATTCTTTGACTTTATCTAATGTACGTGGACAATGTTACGATGGGGCAAGGAATATGCAAGGTGAGCTAGGTGGTCTTAAAACGTTGATTAGACAAGAAAGTAGATCTAGATCGGCTCATCTGTTCATTGTTTCACTCATCAACTTCAATTGACTCTTGTTGCCATTTCTAAAAAGTGTGTTCAAGTAGGTGAACTTGTATTATTAATTTCAAATATTTTGAATGTGTTGGGAGCTTCTTTTAAACGTGTGGATAATTTTCGAGAATCTCAATAAAAGCATCTCCAAATGACATTGGATATGGGTGAACTAGAAACGGGTAGAAGGTTGAATCAAGAATTTGGTCTTGTTAAAGCCGGTGATACTCGTTGGGGATCTCACTACAAGTCATTTGGAAACTTTATTAGTAGCTTTGACTATATTGTTGATGTACTTGATACTCTTGTTGAAAATGCAAGTACTTTGGAAGAAAGAGCAAGCGCATCGGGATTTCTCAGAAGTTGTCAAACGTATGAGACTATTTTCTTGTTGCATTCTCACAAATTATCTTAATGTTTTCATTACAGAAAAAGGAGCAAGACATTGCAAATGCCATGATTTTTGTAAAGGTAGCAAAGACAAGGTTGCAAGCTTTAAGAGATAATGAATGGTATCCTCTCTTTAAAAAAAATATTGGATGGGATTCACTTAAAGAAAAGGTAGAAGCATTTTTTATCAAGAATGACATTTCATTACCCAATTTTGATGATCCATATGCTAATTCTGGGAGATCACGACGTAAAGTAGTTATTTGTAACACTTTGCATCATTATCGTGTGGATGTGTTTTATAAAATCACTGATTGGCAACTACAAGAACTTAATGATCGTTTCAATGAGGTGACAAGTGATTTTCTTAATGGAGTATCCTGCTTGAATCCAATTGATTCATTTTCTAGTTTTGACATAAAGAAGATAATGAGAATGACTGAATTATATCCTGATGATTTTGATGGGTCCAACATGAGAGCTCTTGAGAATCAACTTGTTAATTACATTATTGATGTTCGTGATATTAATGAAAGGTTCTCCAATTTGGGTGGACTTGGAGAACTTTCAAGAAAGTTGGTTGAGACAAACAAGCATTTAACCTATTCTCTTGTATTTCTTTTAGTGAAGTTTGCTTTGCTTCTACCTGTTGCCACTGCTACAGTTCAAAAAGCTTTTTCGGTAATGAAGATTATCAAGAATGACTTGCGAAATTGAATGGATGATGAATTCTTAGATGGTTGCATAGTGTCTTATGTAGAGAAAAAAGTATTTAAAGATGTTTCTAATGAGTGTATTATGAAAACATTTCAAGAGATGAAGTGTCGTCGAGTGCAATTGTAGTTACCACTTTACATATTTTAGTGTGTATGAAACTATCCATCAATATATTTGTCCTACTTCATCTTCCTTAGTTTATCCATTGATATTTTCTAAGTTTCCATTTTAAGAATTTTCATTTTGGATAGTTGGTTAATTTGATATTGAACAGGTAAAGAGCATGAACAACTTGGAGCACTATGTAGAAATTAATAATTGAGGTATGACTATTTTGAAGCCAATATTTATAATATGCTAGCAAGGTTTATTTTTTTATTTTTCCTAAAGTATGAACACCATTGGCAAAATTATGTCTCCACCACTGATCATCTTCCAGATTAGAGATCCACCCCTCCACTCCACTACTTGAGGCCTATGCCTTTTGCAATATTTGTTTCGTAAAAAATTAGACCACATAGTGTTTTTAGTTCTAGATATCCACCATAGTTTAGCAAATAAAGCTTTGGATATGTCAAAAAGAGATCTAAATCCAAGACCTCCCTCTTCTTTAGGTAGACACATGTCATTCCAAGCAACCCAATGTTTAGCTCTTAGAAAAGATTCTATGAAGGTCATATAGAACACATTTAGAAGGAATAATGGCTGGTAACATTTGTGTATATATTATATTTATAATTTCCATTGTTTTTTTTTTATGAGTGTGTTTGGTACGAATAGGGTTTCCAAAAGTTTCATGTTCGATTAGTCAAATGTTTATTGAAAACATTTTCCTTAAAAATAAGAAAAATATTATTAGGACAAGGATTAGAACTAGGACTTGTAGGGGGGGTTGTTAGGGCACCGCTCTTCGAAGAGGGAGGTGGGGGGAAGGGACTCAGGGATCGGCACCCCGGGAGGGTAAGGGACCCGTGTCACAGCTCCCGGGGTACGACGCCCCGAGGTTGGGGGACTTCGAGAAACGAACCCCTGGGGTAGGGGGTTTAGGGCACGACTCCCTTGGGTTGGGGGTGGGGGCCTCGGGGCACGACACCCTAGGGTTGAAGTGGCAAGGGCCTCGAGGCACGGCTCCCCGGGAAGGGGGTAGGGGGATGGGGCCTCGGGGAACGGCCTCCCGGGAGGGGGGTGAGGGGGTAAGGCCTTGGGGCACAGCTCCCCAGCGTGAGGGATGGGGGGTTGGGGCCTCGGGGCACGGCCTCCTAGGGCAGGGGCACTGTGCCCTGGGGCGAGAGGGTTGCGGGGGGCCTCGAGGAACGACATCCTGGGGCGGAGGCATTATGTCTCTAGGCAGGGGTGGAGGGGTAGGGGGCCTCGTGGAAATTTGCCCCAGGGTGGGGGGTGGGGCCTCCGGGCATGGCGCCACGGGGCAGGGGTGCGGGAAGGGGGGGCTTTGTGGCATGGCGCCCATAGGCGGGGGTTTAGGGGGGGATCTCCTAGTTCTTGTCTTTGTCCTGGTTCCAGGTAAGACTAACAGCAAAACCAACAGCATTAGCAGTAGTAGTAGGACAGTAGCAGGAGCTGTAAAAGGTAGCAGGCTAGTCCTAGGACTAGCAGCAGTAGTAGGACGGTAGCAATAGCAGTAGGAGTAGGACAGTAGCTGTAGCAGCAACATCAATAGGAGTATGAGTAGGACAATAGTAGTAGCAGTAGGACAGTAGATGGAGTTGTAGTAGGTAGCGGGTATTAGACTAGGAGTAGCAATAGCAGTAGCACTAGCAGTAGGATAGTAGCGGTAGCAGTGGGACAGGAAAAGGAGTTGTGGAGGTAGCAGGTAGCAGTAGTTGTAGGAGGTAGCAGGTAGCAGTGATTAGCAATAACAGGAGTCGTAAGAGGTAGCAGGTAGCAGTAGCAGAGGATAGTAGCAGTAGCAGGAGTTGTAGGATGTAGCAGTAGCAGTAGCAGGAGTTGTAGGAGGTAGCAGGTAGCCATAGCAGAGGACAGTAGCAGGAGCTGTGGAGGTAGCAGATAGCAGTAGCAGTAATAGGAATTGAGGAGGTAGTTGGTAGCAGTAGCAGAGGACAGTAGCAGTAGCCGGAGTTGTTGGATGTAGCAGGGACAGTAGCAGTAGCACTAGTAGGGGACAATTGACATTAGAAGTTGGTGATCTTTGTATCTTTTACCTTAGTTCAATGTTTACAAATTAACATTTTTCAATCATGATTGATTTTGCAGGCGTGTTCCTTCAACTAGCTAGTGATGTAGATTGTTTATAGAAGCAAGGATATAACGAGAATTTAGACAAGACCCAATTTTAGTGCATAAAGTACTAGAACATTTATTTAAGATTATTTTTCACAAGTTGAAAAGCAATAACTGGATATTCATCCAAAATCTCTTAATTCTTCAATCTTCAAGGTATTCTAAAATCTAAACATAGTTATTCTTAGAAATAGAGTATTTATATTAGGTTTGATTATTACATTAAAAATACTTAGAAGTCCCTAACTATACCTAAAATAGGATAAGGGCCCAAAATGCAATTATGGGGAAAATAAACATACTTCTAATGTCTAATTAGGATCAACTAGTTTGTGGTGATGGCGTAGTAAAACCAAGGTAGTTTTTATTTTTGATAACCATTTATATCCCATGGGATGAGGTATTTATACCATTCATCCTAAAACTAATTAAGGAAAGCAACAATTACATTAAAAGGAAAATATTCTATTCTCTTAATATCTCCTAGAATTAAGCTAATTAATCAATACAGTCAACAATATCTGATCTTATAAAAAAGTTAATGGTGAATGACGAAATTAGATGGATATTTTCAAGTTCTTAAAAAATTATACTTGGAGTGTTAGAATGTCCACATTGATTAAAAGAGTGCCAAAGTTGAGAATTAGTGTAGTATTGTTGTCAATAAAGTGACAAATAATTGTGACATTAGTATCATTGTCAAACTACAACTAGAATACATCAACCAACCAACTATGTTTCAATCCTAAAATAATAGTAATATATAATTTTATGTTACCATCAACTTAATGCAACTATATTGAAGTTGAGATTGTGTATGCAAATTTTATGTAACCAGAGTTTGCATGTTGTGACAGTACACAAACATATTTAATATTAAGTAGCAGTATTGACAAAATCTATTTGTGAAAGGAACTTGTTCCACAACTCGTGGAATACTTACAACATATAGTATGATTCTTGATTTTGAGGTGGGATGTCAATGATATCATTTAAGTTCTCTCCTTTCTCTTGTTTTATATTCCTATATATCTCCACCAGGGTAATTGCAACTGTGTTGTTTTCCGCAGGACATTGAGTGCAAATTTGATGGGGACTGCATCCAGATTCATTGAAATAATTATGAGCTAAGCTTCTTCTCAAGATGACATTTTTATAGATTTCTATCTAATTCCCCTTTTTTGTTGCATTTTCTTGGGGTGATTTAATCCTTTCTTTATGGGTCACAGATATTTGCTCAATTTATGTGAATTAGTAAATACATTTTCCTCGTGTCCTAATGAATTTTTATTTAGGACCTGTTTGGAATTGGATTTGGTGCAATTACACTGTCTGACATGTTTGGTTGGCCATGTAATGTTTATTGACGTTCTCTCATAGTCGAACTACACTATAAAAAGAATGAAAAATTAAAAGGTTGAAGTAAGAGAATTGGGGAGGAATAGACAATAGAGAGATCAAATGAGGAAAAAGAGAGGGGTAAATTTACCTACTCATTCTTGATGATTTTATTAAATGTAGGCTTGCACTAATTCTAAAGTAACATATAAGAAGGCGTTATTCTTTGAGTACTCGAATGTGAAATGTGTTTGAAATTTGTGAAGGAGGAACATTCTCAAAAAATCAGTTAAATAATTTTGAAGACAAGTGGCGTAAATGATTCTTTTTTCTTTTGCTCAACTTGCTTGCATAAAATGGCTATAGAGGGTACATGTTTATAGAACTTGTCCCACTTTGTCTAGTACATATAACTTAATTTTATTGTTTACTTTTTGCTCTTCTCTAGTTCATGGACAAAACAATACATGTATCCTTAGATTAATTTCATAATACATGAATTAAGATAATTCTTGTATCACAAAAATCCTTTTTCTTCTTCCAATACAAAGCTCATTCTCCAACACTCCTTAATTGTGGTTGGAATTCACAAAAGGCATTTCATTTTTGAAGTTCAACTTCTTTCTCCTGGAGTTCCAATAACAATGTTGTCTCCTCTTCTTCTTCTTCTTCTTCTTTATCACCATCATCAACAACAACAAGGTTTATGCCAAGGATTTGGACAAGGACTTTGTGAAGGTTTGTCCTAAGAATAACTCCTAATCTTACCCATGTTATTAGATCAAAGCTTGCTTGCATGTTCCATTTTCATCGTGAGTATATGATTTTTGATAATGGTACCCGTGAGGTGTACATTCTCATAATATGTCACAGTCCACGATTGAAGAAAAAAATGACAATGAGGAGGATGTTACTTCATGTTGAAATCAAAAATGTTATTTTATTTTTGTAGATAAATAGGAAAATTTTCAAAACAACTAACATTTTAACTTTCAATAGGACCTCTTAGCTACACTTTCAATATTTATTAAAAATAATTATATTTTAGTTTGCTATTGACCTGATTTATGTATTTTTTATTTTCTTTAAGTTGGCAGAATACAACTAGGAAATAACTAATTGGAGAAAATTAAGGGAGAGAATATTTTCAGTTAAGGTAAATAGTGCTGGAAATTTTCAATACGTTATAGAGATCAATCGACCAAAAAATCGTTCTTCTCTCCCTTATTCCTCAAACTCTATTGTCATCTATAAATTCACTATTGATAATCATCATTCTTCGTAGAAGTCAAGTAGATTGATTATTATTTTTTGCTGGAGGAGCGGAGATCGATATCAGTGAAGGGAAACTTGAAAACAAAATTGGATCCAACGGAGATAATCGGTGAAATACATATTTGGCA